TACAATAGTATATCAGATATGGACTTGCATACGAATAAATAAAGAGTATGAAAACTTTTTGGATATGAAAGAGTATTGAGGTATGGGAATTGTTTCTGTTGAGCCTTTTTTGCCTTAGCAGAGAATTATTGTTCTTTAATTGCTGATAACGCATTTTATCAATGGTAAATCTTTTCCTTGAGCAAGTACTTTATTTATCTATTCGTTGCTTAATAAAATATTATTAATCATGTTTTTTTTATAAACGTGTATGTAAATGTGTAAAAAAATAAAATAAAATATCGTCACATGATTTTGATCGAGAACAGAGTAAGTATCTTGCACTATCCTAACAAATATTTTTTATTAGGATGTGTAGCTTATAAATATTTTAAAATCATATATAGCTTAAATTATTGGCTAACACCGCAAGGTCTGCAAATTCCACGATTTACACAGTGTTCACCCAAGCTGACGTATCTGTTAGTGGACATAAAGTACAAGAAAAACAGATAACGACGGGCTATGATTTATTAACAACTGATCCAAACCCTGAATCATCACAAGGAATTAAACGTGACCTTGATAATGAGGTGGATGAAGAGGAGTATGACGCGAAACGAACAATTATTGGTGGCAAAAGTACTAGTTGGATAGTGAACGGGATTAACATCCGTCAAAGACTCACAGAGTATCAGGAAACAGGTCTTCCAAAAACAAGACCAGAATATTATGACGTAATATTGTTCACTGACAAAAATCAAGATGGGTTTTTGGGGACACTGGAGGAAAACGTCGTTATACAGATGCGTAAGGAAATAGAGAGAAAGGATGATAAAACCGAAGATAATATCGAAAAAAAAATAAAGTCATTTCTGAATAATATTATTACTCGCGACATAAAGGAAACTAAGAAAAATCTTAAATTACAAAAGGACGATACGTTCGAGGAGGATTTTGCAATATTTTTTGTGAACCACATGTGAGTTTATATTTTGCTCGATTTTCACCGATAAGTGCAATAAGACTAATTAACCATGGTTTATATAGGATCGAGCTTATTGAAGACGTAAATGTACTTCTCGAGGATATGTCCGAAGGGACATTCATTGCAATGGTTCTGGCACCAATCCTTAATCGACTTTTCATAAAAACAAGAAGGTTTGGTTCACAAAGTATGGGGAAACATGTCTTAGAGCGAGCGCCGAAGAACAAAATTCCCAGAAAACAGATGATGAGCGACGCTCACCTGGTGAGAAGATTGATACAATTATCGCATTGAGAAATGATGATGAAGAATTCTCTGTCACGGAAGTAAGCGGTCCCCCATCGAAAAAAAGATTGGTCTCATTTTATCGGAGATCGGCTAAAAATAATTAAAATGTCAAAAACGTTGATGAATCGGTTTGCGAGACTTCGTCCAAACTCTGATATTAGAACGGTTAGTCTGTATGGAATGCAAATATATTGTAAGTTTTGGACATTATTATCATTGATTATTGTATGTTGCTAACTCTTGGAGTTCATAGTATATCAAGTTATCCTATACGAATTTCGACTCAAGTTCTCGGAAATATACACCGTAAAAGAATTATTGAGATTTTCAATCCCGAAAACCTGGAAAGACATGAGGAATTCACACGAAGCTATAATCGGATTCTTAAAATATGAGGTTGTATAAGGTTGCATCACGGAAGGAATAGAATTCAGAACACAAAGCACTAACATTTTTTATAAATTAGCATCTGTTATCCGAAAGTTCAAGTACAATAGAAGATTTTTTGTGGATAGAAAATAATAGCAACGAAGAGTTTCAGGGAATGACAACACGAACAGTTTATACTTCTAAATGTATGAAACATGAAAAGAAAGCACGAATCACCTAATGTTTGAGTTTACGTCAGTAATAACATGCATATCATGTAAAACGTATTATATGTACCTTAATATTCTTATAGCCTAATAATTTACATATTTGTGTTTCTATGTTTCTACAGCATAGCGGGCTTTCATTGTAATTGGCTGATTTTTGTAAATCATCCCGTGATATTGCAAAAATACAGTCAGGGAATATACCATATTTGGCTATTGCAGATCGCACCTTATTTAGTAATGATCATCCGTCAGGTTGTTCTAGATTTTGTTCCAGATTATTCTACGTGTTATAAAAATTGGCCAATAAAATTAAAATATTTAAAAA